GGGTGTCATGGAATGGGACGTGAGCCCGGGACGGGGAGGCCTAGAGGTGTTGTGTGTTCAGCACACCTCCTTTCCTGAGGCTCCGGTAGGCAGGATGTTCAGCTGGGTGAGCTGAGCCGAGTGTTCCTTGGCCTTGAGGCGCAGCGCGGCGATACTGGAGGCCCTGCGGTCCGCTGCGGCTGCGGATGAGGGGGAGGAGGAGGAAGGGTCAGGGAGGACTGGGCCCGCGTGGGAGGGGTTCTCTACAGGAGGGGCGGGCTGACGGAGGAGAGCTGCAGCGGTGGAAGCACTGGAGAGGTGACCCATACTGGAGAAGAGCCTGTAAGAACACAGAAATGTCGCAGTCTATAACATTTATAGATGCTGAATAGGTTTGTTATTGCTCAAATTTCAATTATCCATTGCAGGACGGTATAGAAGTCTTATTTTCCAGGAACAAATATCTCTGTGCTAATTCAAGAGCAGTCTTAAAAGGGTGTCTGTAAAACAGCAAAGCTGCTTCTTAATTAAGACTTTCAACGTCCCTCAGATGTATTTATTTACCCTGATTTTGGCTTCAGTTGTCTTAAACTCCAATAGCTGGCTTCTTCAATATATACAGAAAGCATGGAGAGAACAAGGTTACCAGTGCTGTATAAATGGAGAGGATGAAAGCAAATGAGAAGCTAATTGTGGCATATGGAGTGTGCGGTGTGTCACACCTCTTCACAGCTTGTCTTGCAGCATCACGTGTTTTGTTAATTTATTAGGACAGTTGACAGAGTGATTACGCGCCACTGTGAATGGTTAACAGTGTAACATATTCATAATCAGACACTGAGATGCAGCGTAATGCCGTGTGACTGAGGGTTACTGTAACCGTCAGTCATTAGAGGTGCATGATGGGTTGCCGTTTATTATAGCTTGGTTGCTGCTGTGCATTTTTGCAAAGTTGCGGTCATTTCTTCTAAGTTATAGGTTGGTGAGTTCTGGTGTAAAGAAAGTATATCAGGTCCAAGGGAGCTCTGTGCATGGGTGAAGCTTACCTGCCAAAAGTGGGTCCAATGAAGGCGGGGTGGCGAAACATGGCAGCCGTGCCCAGGAAAGTGCCCAGGCCGAGGGGGGTGGCCAGTGGCGGAGCGGAGCCGTTGTGGTGTTGGGGGGCCAGGCCCGGGAAGGCGGCGGCTGCAGCTGCAGCAGCTGTCCAGGCGGACTCGAGGGACGGGTGGTGGTGAGGAGGGAAGGGCCCCCCGTCCAGGTAGTGGCTGAGAGGGTGGCCCGCTGACAGGGGGCCTGGGAACGGCATGCCTGACGGGTGGGCCTGCACCCCGGCCTTCTCGCGCTTCCTCCACTTGGCCCTGCGGTTCTGAAACCACACCTACAGAGCAGACAGGGGTGATCACAGATTAGTATGCGCAGAGATCTTATGTCATTTCCCTTAATTCAGTTTCCTCAGGAAGAAGGAAAACAACAAAGGCAGTAAATACATGTTAACTCTGGGAAGATAGGTTCAGTTTGCATGTTGTTAAAACAATTCAAATAAAACAGCTGTCTCAATACATAAATGGGTCATTTTTTTGCTGCATGATAAGGCCTTTGAAGACCCATCACATATGTCAATATGACGTTCACGCTATAAATATTGCAAACCAGAACTCCCTGTCCTGCTTCCAGCAATGTGTCATTGTAATTAACATGACTCCATTGAGTGTCAGTGTAGTCTAATAGTTGTCTACTTCAGGTAGTGGCCAATCGGCGGAAAGTCAACGTAATTACACGCAAGGTAAACCCGACCGCTCACAGTGTCTTAAATCTACTTTGTGTAATTAAACCCCCTGTCCCTGTAGATGGGCTACAGGCTGTGTGTGTGTGTGTGTGTGTGTGTGTGTGTGTGTGTGTGTGTGTGTGCGTGTGCGCGTGTGCGCGTGTGCGTGCGTGTGCGTGCGTGTGCGTGCGTGCATGCGTGTGTGTGTGTGTGTGTTGGGGGCGGGGGGGGGGGGGGTCATTAAGAGTGGTGTTAACAAAAGATGCCAGAAAATTACCGCTGAACCGGCTCCAATAACAATTAATGCGCTTTAAATTAAATTCTTAAGAGACGTAGAACGAGTGACTTCCATCCCAGAGAGTATTTAACTTTCCCACGCATCCACTGGAGACCCGTTTACACTGCAGAAGCACGGGGCTCCCACAATGAGCAAAATGTCAACATGAGCAAAGTGATTGAACGAGCTGGCTTGAGCGACAGGGACTGCGCGCGCGCACGCACACACACACACACACACACACACACACACACACACACACACACACTATTCCCAGAGGGCTGTTTAGCATTACACAGCCCCTCGGGAATTTATGAGTTTTTATCACCTCCTGATGGCGCCCGTTAAGTGATTTGTTCACCTACGGCCCCCTAAAGAGACATCTGTTGTTTTACCGTCGGCCATAACCTCCCGGGGCTTCCACCGTGTTTGAACTGTCTCTCTGGTTATGAGCCCGGGCTTTCGAAATGCAAGCCACGCTTTCAGTGCGAGGCGAAGTAGAAAGAGAGGGAGGGAGAGTGTGGGGTGAGAGAGCGAGAGAGGGGGGGGGGAGCAAACACCTTTAATGGTCTCTCATTCGCTCCCAAGTGCAAAGCATCGGATCAATGCAGGTCTATTGCAATCACATAATGGGAAATCAAATAGCATTATCCCTCCCCTCTCTCTCTCTCTCTCTCTCTGCCCCCTCCTCCCCCTCTCTCACTTATTCCTACTCGCATCTTTTTACTCGCGCACACATCTCGGCCTCGCCCCCCTCTCCGTCCCTTCTGATGGGAATCCAAACACCATCTCGGTCCAGGAACACACACAGTGTTTGCTCCTGCACTAAGTGAGTATTTTATGAATCGCCAGCGTCGGCTTAATTGCCACTAAAACGTGTAATAACATTCAATAACAGGAAAGACCTTCCCCTACGCAGCGACTGGGGCCATTTAACACTTTATTTTATTTTTTACTGTTATATAAATTACTGCCTCAAATTGGCCCGTAATCGCTGATCCTCAATCAGTGACGCATATCACCGGTTATTATCCATCACTGTGTTCCATGGGGCATTTTATAGAGGACATAAAACATTAGGAGATGCAGCTTTTTTTCCCTCCCTCTATTTGATTTACAAGTCACAAGCGTTTCTTTTCCGATAAAGATAAACAAGAGAGCCACTTACTTGAACACGGGCCTCGGTAAGATCCAGACGCATCGCGAGCTCTTCTCTGAAAAGAATATTTAATCAAAGAAAGAGAAAGAGGCAGAGAGACGGAAAAGATTCAAGGTTACAGGCCGCTGTTTGGAAAGAATCGTAGAATTGCTGTTGTGTCCCCTCCTGTTGTTCACTGTCAACAAAAGACGACCGAAAATAGGGTGGATTTTTTATTTTTATGTTGGACTGCAGAAAGACGCCGTGGCCATATTCTATTTTCCCTGTCACGGATGGGTAGAAATAGGCCTGGTGATTGTTAGATTTCCCTGAGCACAGGCCTGTCACTGTAACAACATAATGGTGGAAATAATGACATCTAAACTAGCCTGCCACAAAGCAATTGACGCTCCCTTCAGCTGCAGCGTGGGCTTGCAGTGTATATTAGACCAACAAGTCGCCTTAAAGTAAATCGATTGGAAAATATGAATAATCAGTGGTAACTAAAATCGAAGGTTGTTGTGTCAGAAAAGCTTAAGCATAAAACGCGGATGAATCAATCATCAAAATCTTTATTGGGCAGAAAGAGGTATGACATTTTATTTATAGGTTGTATTTGGTTTTAGATATAAAATCCCTAAATAATAAAATATATTAATAATATATTTATCTGAAGCAATACCAGCATAAAACCCTGATGAAACCCATATTAAAAAACTCTACATGTGTAAAAAAAACAACTAAAAAAAACATGCCCTGAGTTATTATTTATTTTTTATTCAGACTGTATTCAGTATCATGTCCAGCGGGTAAGCCGCACCTGTTAATTGTTCCTCCTGACAATAACAGGAAACAAAACGTCCCCGTTGTTAGCACGTGCGGGCCTATTGTGGCCACTTGTTCAGCGCGCGGGTTTGTCGGTGCATTTTATGAGGTGTGGTCCCGCACAGTGTCGAGTTAAAATCGTGTGGAATTTCTGGTGATATTATAGGAAAATTGTATGGGAATATGTTTATTTAAAAATAAATGGATTGAATTATAACCTTCATGCGTGGAATGTTAAGAGAACACGTTGAATGTTTTGTGTTTTAAAGCGTTTCTTTGATTTTAAACGTATGGCCATAATAATAATTATAATAATAGTAATATTAATAATATTAAATACAAGACAATTCTTGTAGACTAGTGTAATTGTAAACGTTTAATATGCACGTCAATTTTAATTCTTAGGCCTATTTCTTAGCGTTTTAAATTTGTAAATTGATATAATGCAGAATTTTTACAATACTAATATTAATCAAAATAATTTTAGGGAACACAACATTTTAGAATTTCACAGCATTTTTTTTTTTTTTCAGACTTAAAAACAATGCAGATTAAAATGTTCTTACCTGGTGAAGACGTCTGGGTAGTGTGTCTTCTGGAAAGCCCTCTCCAGCTCCTCCAGCTGGTAACTGGTGAAGGTAGTCCTGTATCTTCTCTGCTTCCGTTTCAGCATTCCTTCCTCCGAGTCACTGCCGGCCGACAGACACACGCTGTCCTCCCCGTCCCTCACGTCCCCATCCCCGGCGTTCAAGCTCTCCCTCTCTTCGTCCTTCGGGGACAGCGCGGCCGCGTCCCCGCTGCTCATCTCCTCCTCCTTCCCTGCGTCCTCCTCGAACTTCAACGGGCCGAGCTCCACCAGTCCCAGGCTGCCGTCCTCCGAGCCCTCCCCGGGGCTCTGGTCGCCCTCTCCCCGGTTCAGCGACGCGTTCTCCCGGTAGGACTTGCTGCGGCTGATGCTCACCTGCGGCGCGTGGCTGATTTTGAGGCTGTCGCCGGCTTGCTCCATGAGGAGCCGCTCCCTCTCCAGCGTCTCCGCGTGCTCGTGGAGGTACTTCCCCCCGGCTCCGTACAGCCGGCGGAGCTTAGGTGGCAGGTGCATGTCGGCGCTCAGAGAAAGGGGGTCTTTCGTTGGCCCTGAGAAGGAAGCGTGTCAATATGTCATAACGAATAACAAAAATGGCAGCGAACAAGCAAAGAAAACATCTCCCTCTTCATAAAGTTATTTTTTGTAGGCCTATAGCTGAACGTGCTGACTTGTAGTCTACATTAAAAACAACTTTTCTTGACGCATTAACTCCAGACTTCCAACATAAAATGAGCTAATTTGTTACATGTTCAGCCCCTACAACACTCAACATGAACCAGTGTATACTATCTTTCTTAATTCCAGCTGAAAGACAAACTTACTGTCAGCCGTTTTGTCGAGCTCCACTCTGCCGGGCAGACCCGTCAAACTTTGCGCCCCTATCAGTCTGACCTTACAGGGACTCCGGCGGCCCAGAATGCTGTCTATGCAGTAAGAGGAGAGCAGCGTCGGGGATTTACTGCTCTTCCTCTCGCCCCGGTCGTGGATATCTTCCTCAAACTGACCGCTCATATCGACTCTTCGGTTCATCTAGTTTCAGTGACGCCTGTCAGTCTCCCGCTCTCTCCACTCTCTCTCTCTCTCTCTCTCTCTCTCTCTCTCTCTCTCTCTCTCTCAGTCTCTCAGTCCGGTGCTCTATCCTTCTTCTTCTTCTTCTTCTTCTTCTTCTTCTTCTTCTCACGTCTCAGGCCGGTGTCTGTTTGAACCGGGACCGTTCACTCCTCCTCCCTCTCTCTCTCTCTCGCCCTCTCTCTCTCTTCTCTGTCACTCCCGTGTCACACACCCAGCTAATGACAGACAGCGGTTTGGCTGCCTCGCGCTGAGCTCCGGTCTGCCAGGCGCTTCTCTGCTCCGCGCGCTCACTCAGCATACGTGGAGGCTGCTATAGCCCGCCTGATTGGCTCGTATGTGTGCATGTAAAGAGAGAGACGCCGCAGAGGCTGCTTTATATGTTTTACGATTAAAGTTAATTTGAGGCAAGGCAACAAAACCTGACATGGAGTGCTTTTCCTCCACGGAACGAACTCCGCAGATAATGTAACAAAAGCTTGTGTTTACATTTTTTTTAAGATTATGTAAGAGGGGCCAGCAAAAATCACATTTATTTTAAATGCAATTATTTGATAAAGCAAGGGTGCTTTTGACAGACATGGCAACAGTGTTGCAACTAAGCACAGGTGTGTTTTAATACATTAAATGCAACAATGTAGCAACCACAATAATCAGCACAATGACTCTTGGTGAAGAGTAAGTAGGCCTAACACAAGATCACAATAGGCTTTCATGGCATTTTAACATGTCACAGTAGGAAAAACACAGGTGTAGCCTAAATAATAACATGAATGATGGCTGAATTCCATTTAGCTAGTTTCAGGGTCCTGACATTGTGCATACTGGCTCACTGTCAACATGTCTGCTGTGAAAAAGGCCTATTCTGTACAAATAGCCCTGTACAGGCAGGTCTACGAAATCATAAATAATAGTATTTAATAATTACATTCAAGTGCTAACATCTATAACTGTTAATATTGCTCTCAATTGTTTAAAGTTTAAGTAGTAACCCCTTTTAACAATTCCCTGAGGGTATATATATACTTTATTGGCACACTTTTATTTGATGTTATTTATATTACTTTTAAACGATTAGAAATCAGTAGTAATCGAGATAATATAATCTTCATAAGACACAATATTGCATTGTGTAGATTATTTTAAAATGTTTGTGTTTTTATAGACGTGTTGTAATAATATACGAAAATATTGGGAAAAAATGACAATAAATAGGCCTGTGTTTAATGTGATGATTTTGGGTATAATCATGAATCATCATATATAACCACACGATGAGCTAAATAGTTTTTTTTGTAGGCCTATAAAACACAAACTCAGAATCCTTGTGCCAAGCTAAAAAAAAAAAATCTGGCGCGGAGTTTGTGTTCCACCTCAGAGCACCTGCGATGACAGACATAGAAATATCATTGGGATCTGGATTTTGCCTAACAGTGTTTCAAGGTTGTTTCATTTGGAAGATATTGTGTTTTGATAGTAGAAAAACAAGCATTAGCCTAATATGATTAAAATCTGCCTGTCTCTGTCACTCTGTCTCTCTGTCTGTCTGTCAGTCTTTTTCTTACTCTCCCTTCAATTGCCTGCTCTCTGCTGGAGTTGTGGATTGACTTAAAAAAGTGAGGGTGGCGCGACGGTGATGAGACGCTGCACGGGGAGCCGGGTTGGCACGCAGGGACTCCGCTGAAGAGGGGGGGGGGGGGGGGGGGGGGGAGTGGGGGGGCCGCCTCAGAGCATTTGCGA